GCCAGAGGGCCTAGAGTTGAACGTTTGCAATTGTGGTCGCGGTTCACAGTAAAGTCAGTGATGCAATTCTTAGGAGTAATTCTTTCCCAAACTCATTAGGTCTTGTCCTATTTACTGCGGCTGACTGGAATGAAAGTTTCTGGTCTGCAAATGGTCGCTATTGGTTCTTTGCTTCTCAAGCTTCCCTGAGAGAAAACTTGGACGAGAAGGTCAACTTCACGGTTGTGTGGTGTTTCTCATCTCAGACTGTGGGATAATGATGCAGTGCATGACAGACGCAGATGTTTTGTCATGAAATCTTTGTCCAATTATGTTACCCAAATGATTCTACTTATGATCCAGAGTAAAATACACTATCATTATAGTTTATTTAAATCACTAAGCAAGCAAACAGTAATGACAAGGAATATTAAATTGTACGCATCTCTGCATGCATACTCGGAGAGAGTTAATTACCTTCACAGATAATTTCATGGATTAAGATGTTCCAGATGGCAAAATTACTCCCAGATAGTGAATGGACTATAATGCAGGCAAACAGAGTAGCTACTTGTTCTTTTGGCAGCAAATATTTTAAGTCTGAGGACAAAAATGTCACAGAAACATTTACTGAAGAAACATTCCTATGAATGGAATGGTTTTAAGTCCAGTGGGGTCAGCTGGGCTTCTAAATTCAGATACTGCTTATTACTGAGGGATAACAAACACTTAAAGTTTAACTTCACGTGTTTTGTCCTTTCTTTTTTTTCTTTTTTTTTTGTTTTTGTGCAAAAGAGAAACAAAGATCTCCAGTGCAACAACTCTCACTTCTTGGTTCCAATCCTAACAGACAGAGCAAAGTCATATGAACGTCTTTATTTAGACCAAAGGGGGAAATTATGATGAGAATTCCTTCCAGTCAGTAATTTAGCAATTTTAGACAGAGGGTGTGGAAAGCTCTTCTAGAAATGTTCAGACACATCTAGATTGTGCCACAGTAGCCTCTGGCAAGCAGCCAGTGTCAACCACAGTCAAGCAGACACTGCGTCTTTTACAAGAAAACACATTAAGACTCAGTTGCCAGGAACAATGCTAGCAAATCATTCATCATCTTCAAAGTGGAGGTTCCTATCTTCATTTCTACGCCATACCAGTTCGGCCATTAATCACTCTCCCGCTCTTTCAAAGCACCTGTGTGAGGAAAGGCCTTGGCAGCATAATATCGGCTTTACAGACAGTCGTAACTCTTCCAAACACCTGCCGGGGAGATTTTAATGGAGAGGTTCAGAATAAAAATGTGTTACTTTTTGTACCCCAATAGCAATAAAAGACATATAAACTGCTAATACATTGTGTTTTTAAATGTTTTGTTGGCTCTAGTGGCCTGTATTTGAAAGTAGTTTGACAGGAAAGAGGGGAAGACATGCAGCAAATGTTGCCAGGCCGGGAATCGAACCTGCAACCACAGCCATGAGGACTAGGGCCTCAATACGTGAGTCGTGCTTTGCCCCTGCACCACCACAGCACCCACTAATACATTGTTTTGACTTGTAACAGTTATAGTTAATAATGTGTGCACGTTTAAAAGTCTTCCTTTTCATTAACTGCGCAATTAGGTTTGTGCGTCACAGTTTGGCGAATAAAAATTTACTCAATAAAGTTCAAGGCAAACATTTTTATAGAGACTATTATGGTGGATAAGCATCCACTTTAATTGTAGAAACACCTGTGGAATATGTTTCAAATATCCCTCTGTGAAGAATTTACTGAGCAGGAGGTTAATGCATTTGGGCGAATGGGTTACCTGTGTTATGTCTACTGGTGACTCATTAAAACAGCCTTGGCAGTGCCAGGGACAGGAGTCAGAGAATGACTGGAAAAAAAGAAAATAACCAGAACTTCACAGTCCAGGAAATAAAATGTTCATTGAGTTGCTGTATTTTATTTAACACTGCGTTTGAAGGTTATTCAAAGTAATTTGAAAGGTGCATGTGCATCCTTTTTTTTTAACCTTTAATTTTCTCGTTTTGATGTTGTCAAGCCAACATAGCATAGTCAGTGATGCTAATAACAGAGGACGTTTCGTCGTAGCTTTTATCCCACCACATATTTTTGCATATTGGCTTAACAGCCACAGGGACCATAACCCTCCTTTGGTGTCCCTTTTGTACATTAGGATACATACACTTAGAAACTACTGGCATAAGGCAAATTTCCTAACAAAATTGCCTAACAACAATGTTTAGCTTGTGTTAGAAATCTGCTTCCGCTACAACTCTTCTTCTACTACCACTTGAGGCAGATTTCCACTCTAGCGACATCTGTTGATTTAAAAGAAAACTGCAGCGTGTGTTGAATGTTTTAACCAGCAGGCCAAAAGCCAATTCTGTTCATCTTGAAGCCAAAACGTCCTAGTTAAAAAAAACAAAAAACAAAACAAAAACAAAATTGTGCTTCATTATTACAATCACTTTTTTCCAGCAATCATTTGCAGGATTAGAGCTTATCAAAGCAAAAATTATAAAACATATTCATATGAACTCATCCGTCCTAATAACTCAGCGGCATGCCAAAAAAACACTTGTGAAAAGAATGACCTCAGGGAAGTATCCTTTTGAAAGTTGTGCGCCCTCTTGTGACTGATTAAATGTCACATGGATATTACTATATCTTGGTTGAAAATAATGAAAATAAATAAATAAATAAATAAATAAATAAATAAATAAAAATTAAAAACAGTGAAGTGCAATTTGAAACTGTTAGTTAATTCTGTCACAGTTGTACAGGGTTCCACTGCATTGAACTATCCTTTAAAGAATATGTACGCCTTTTACAAACTTTGTGATAAAAACCTACAATGTAAAACTTTTCCCCAACAAAACCTGACTAAAGCACTTATAGCAATCTTAAACAAGAAGGAACTTCTTCAGCCAGTCAGATTTTGTCAGAGTTTTAGTCAACTATGAAAGCTGAAAGGTGGATTAAAAAAAGACAAATTTAAAAACTGAGATTTGGCTTTAAGTCATGAAACACCTGAGCTGCTCTTCATTTCACAATCTATTAATGTTTTTGTAGGTAAAACATGGATTAATTAAAGAAAATTGATATTTCAAGGTATCCTTTTGGACTAAAATTTCCATGTCTGAATGTATGATACTGTACAAGTAATGAAGTACGTACATCTCATATGAGTTATTTTTTTAAAATTAGCCACAGGAAACTTATGTAGTACCATAGAAGCTACATGTTGACTATGAATTTATTTTTAATCTGAACCTACTGACAACTTCCTTCCTGACAGAGTCAGTCTTGGCATTTGAAACTGGCCACCAGCAGCCAAACCACAGCGACGGTTTCTGTCGCAGAACATGTAAACCTGTTTAGTTTATGAATAATGTGATGCACGGCTCTGTCAAGTATGTCTTGGGAATATTTTGTTCCCAGAGTTGATTCTCTTTCTGCCTCTTCCCCAGACGTACACACACAAAAATACACACGACTGAATTAGCTCACCAGAAGGCCGACCAAAGGAACTGCTAACTCAGTGTTTTGGGCAACAAAACCACCACAAAATGATAAGTCTATCTTCTTTCAAACAATTAGTCATTTTTCATTTTTCTTCATGAATGTGTCAGCGCTGCATTTCAAAGGAGGTGTGTTAAGGTCGCGAGATATGTTTGTCTTCAAAGATGAGAAGGTTTCATGATGGTGTATTGTTTCCTTTACCAATGACAGGGAAGCTGTTCGTACTTGATTTTACACACAGAAACATCCCGGGAAAAAGAAAACTTTTAGAGGCTGTTAATCTATTTAAGCTTTTTTTTCTCTCACTACTTTGTGTTTTTCTATGAAAAAAAGCCTGAATGAAAGTGAAGAAACCTGAACAAGACATGAATACTTCTCCAAGATATTCTAAGTTTTGATTTTCAAACACTTGAATCGTTGTAAGCCGGTTACTTATTTTACTTTGACTGTCATTACAAGTCCATTTGGACACTCCGGTTGCAACCAATTAAAACAGGAAATGGCGTCAGACCTCGTCTTGATTCTGGTACTAACTTGATGTATGGGCTTAATGTACATCATCTCACACAACGTCATTGGTAACTTGAATAGATAATGAATAGTGTCTGTGTACTGGTAATAAGCTATTTTTTACCTGACTCCTAACGATTCTATGTCAAAATATTTATAAGAGATTTGCAATATCTTGTTGAATGTATGCCAGAAAGACGTTAGGTAGCTCTGAATGTAAGAGTAGTCGATCCCAGCAGTAGCATAACGTGTCCAAGTAAGGGGGGCAGTAAGTGTAAGTTTTTTTATTTGAGAGAGCAGTTCTCCTTGTCTTTATTTGATGAAGTTGGATTGGTCTGAAGCCCCATGAGCTGATGGCGCAATAAATAATGTCGTACAACAGTTGACGGAGAAAAATTACAATCCTCTTCACAGCATCAAGATTGAAGTTAAGTGTCTTCTTCTTTGTCAACTCAAAGTGCCAGAGATCATTTCTGTCCAATGCATTAACAATGACCCAATTACAGTTAGTCTGTTTATACTTTACCTATGCAAATGTATACAACTTGATACATTTTGATTCAGTTCAACAAATTTGTCTTTTCTTCCTAATTTGTGATTAGCTAAAACCTAAAAGCTAGAACATGTTAAACCCACTTCAGGTGGTTTTTCCACTTAGGCTAAACAGGGCGACTGCTGTGAACTCAACTCTCGAGTTTTTTTTTTTGGTGCGTCTTCACAAAACACATTTGCCTTCTCTCTTCCTCATTTCTTTACAGGAAGTACGTTTGCAGTATGATGCAGGGCTGTCACCGCACTCTACATGTCATTCTGGTAAAGTCTTGCTAACATGAAACAGCTCTAGGTCGAGACTCTGCAGCGGCTGCCAACCGTGGCCCTGTTTTAAAGATGACTTTTGTCACCTCATTTGAAGCACCTGCAATGAACTACTAATTCTATGGGTATGTTGAATACTTTTCATATCTGCTACTTGGTTTATGTACAGATTGTTACTTCTTCATACCAGATAAAGGAACGTTGTGTAAAGTAGCTTTGGGTCAAATATACAAGGTCTGATTTACATATACAGATAGATTTTCAGTCCTTCTTCCTGGGTGCTACACAGACCATGTAAAGTTAGCAGTTTGAATGGTTGGGTTTACGTAAAATGACACTTCAATCTGCCTCTATCAGTTGACTACACCAAGCTGGAAGCTGCAATGGAAAATTCTGGCCGATAGCATCTAACCTCAGCTTCCCCATTCTGAACTGAGACAGTTGAGAGATGAGATAGCTCATTGGTCAGCTCGCAGTGAGATGCAGAACTTTAAGTGCTTGAGACTGGGGAGACTTTAAGGAGCTGCATATGAAGACATTATTGCATGTCTGTCTGTTGACTTCAGGCTGGAGTCTGGTCCCCCTGGAGGATGGGGAACATGATGCGAGGCGCTAGTGACAGCAGCAAGGTCAACACTGACAACCCTGACAGTGCTCAGAAGGGTAAGGTCACCCCGAAAAAATTCAAAACTTAGAAGTGTATTTGCAAAGTTACTTTATTTGAAAAAAAAAAAAAAAGGTTAAATCTTTATGTGCTGCTATCAGTTATATAGTTTTGCTATTAAAAATTAAAATGAAACAGTGCAAAATGCTGGTCTGCACATGTTTTGACAACTGAAGCGTCCCCTCAGTGACCAAAAGTGAGAAAAAACAAAACAAAACACAAGTAGTAATTTGAAATTTGTTTTTTAAAATACTGTGGTCAGTTGTAAATTTAATATTTTTATTGTTAAAAAAAAATCAAAGCATAAGTCACAAAGAGAAATAACTTTTTTCTGCTCCCATTTTGACACCTTACACTGGTAAAACAAAGGCTTCATCCTATGACATCACTGGTCAGTTAGGGTCTGGGTGAGTTCAACGTTGAATTCACAGAATCAGCTGTCCGTCTAGAAAGATTTTGAGCAAAAAAAAAATCGTCCTTGTTTCTCTTTGTTGGTGATTTTTCATTTTCATCATCTTAAGCGTAAAAAGAAAATCTAGATTTTAATCTAACTGAAAAGCAACAACTTGTATTTCAATTTTAAATTCAGTATTTATAAAGGAAATTGAAATGATCCGCCTCTTTTTGTTGTTGTTTTTTTTATCAAAACATCCACAGCCATCTCTAAAAATATGCAGCATTATTTCATTAGTTAATTACCTTCTGAACAGAATAACAATTCATATTCAAATGAAAGTAAGCAAACATCCGGAAGTGGAGAAGCTTTTTAGATGTGAGGCCTGTGCAAAGTCAGTATTTATAATGTCCGCTTTTGTCGTCAGGTTCTGATGATGACATAGTAGTTGTGATCGACGATTACCCCTCTTTGGAAATCAGCGAGCCCATTTACAAAATGGGGGAGAAACTCAGAGTCATTGCACAGTAAGATTTTTGTTTAAATTCTCAACACATTTAAAATGATCATGGGGAAATAGTCAAAAAGAAGGAGTCAATTTATTGTGCAAGAACTCATTATGGAGAAGCTCTTAGAAAGGTCAGCTATTAATTCCTCTTTTCTTCCTAACCCAGGGAAGCTTATTGGTGGAGAGTTCGCTCTATTGATACAGGGAAGGAGAACTATATACCCAACAGCCATGTGGTGAGAGTTTACCACGGGTGAGTGGAACTTCATGTTCTTTTCTAAAGCTGACTATCACAGCGCATACTTAAAAATAAAATAAGAATAAATAACAAAAGCTCTTAGTCTTTCTTATCACCACATGTCCATATAAGTCTACTTCCCTACAATGTCAGTTCTGGAAACATTTTTGTGTTGCTGATCATGTTTACTGTGTTGTCAGGTGGCTGTTTGAGGGGGTGGGAAGGCAGAAAGCCGAAGAGCTGCTTCTTCTACCTGGAAATAGAGTGGGATCGTTTCTGGTGCGAGAAAGCACCAGCGAGAGAGGTAGGAACACACGCAGCTACGCAACCAACACTGGTGTTTGACACAGGCAGCGTGGCTTACCGCCCAGGGTGGCATGACCTGAGACCCTAGTGCTTATTTGTTTCCTACTACATGTCAGTTCAACGGGGAGGCAGCTCCCCACTGCAGCAGGACCGAGATGGGGTTTTGTTCCATTGTACAACGGATCCCACTTCAGCTATTTTTAGAACAAAGCTCTTACCGACCTATCCTAACCCTTGACCTCAAGCATGTTAGGCATCGCAACAGCCAGCTCCATGCTCGCCATGTCTTGTTGTTTTTGTGTAGCTCAGTTGCTGCTTTGCATTGCCATATTTGGTCCTGGTACAGTTAGTAAAATATTTATTTCAATATTTTCTTGTGCAAATATATTTCGTCACTCACTGACGAGCTTCAGGAACTTCATTTCTCTCAAAGTTGAAACACTAAAGAAGGAACAAACTAAAATAATGATACCAACAAAAAAAAAAAAAAAAACGGATAGACAATGAAACAGTTTTGTAAGTAGTTCCTTCGCTAAACTTGCTGCAAAGACAAATATAAGTCCCTGGCTTTGCTATTTCTGCATTTACTTGAGTCAACATTCTCAGTGTGACTGAAATTAAAAATCAAAATGTTAGAGATAGTAGAGACGGCTGTAGGGTGAAACAGTGGTGTGAACTTTGCCGTTAAAGCCAGGAATTGCTGTGTGCAGTTACATCTCTTCTGCATGCTCCTGTGGGGGGTTTTAAAGCCTTAATCCTGTAAACGTGCCGTAAACATGTGGAAACCTGCAGGACCAAAGTGGACTTCTGAAATCTTGAAACAACTCCAATCTCAAAATGATCATAGCTATTTATACGAACGTTATTCACAAAAGCCAACGATAATTTACGTGAACCAGGGAGGTATGAAGTAAGCAATCCACCAATTGTTATCCTACGAAAAACATATTCGGAGAAAAGAACAAGTTAGGTGTTTCCGTTCCAAGTAACTGCCTGTATAAAAGTAAAGATGTCTATTAAAAAACGTACATCATTTTATGATTTTGTCACTTGTCTGTTTTGCTGACCGGAAACTCTGTAGTTGCTCCATTTTGCAGTATGTTTCACACAGGAAGATCACTATTGGTACATCGCTCTCCACATCCGTTTAGCACATAAATGGTCATTAGGTTTTATGCAAAATTGAGCTCATATTATTTTAGAGATTGGATCTATTTTATGATGATAGAAATGCACTTTGGTTTTGGCCACTGTTGTACTAACCAGTAGGTTCAGCCTCCTGGACAAATGTATTTTTTATTAAGACACCCATAGAGTTATTAACAACCAGTAGGACATTAATAGCTGATAACTTTTTTACTTAAGAATCCCTTTAAAAAGGCCTAAACTTTAAAATGCTGCTTTATATATTTTTTGTGTCTTTGTTGTGAGCAGCTGAGCACACAATCAGCTTGTCAAACAACATCAACATAGTACACAACGTACTTTCTCGATGCTTTGCCTCACTTTTCTTTTCCACATGTGTGGTCATCTACAAATGTACTGTGTGATTTCCTCAGGTCTGTATTCGCTCTCGGTGAAGCACAGGGCAGTGAAGCACTATCGAATCTTCAGACTGGACAACAGCTGGTACTACATCTCACCGAAGCTCACTTTCCAATGTCTTGAAGACATGATCAATCATTACTCTGGTAGGTGGACGCCCTGAAAGCTCATGAACCGACTTGTTTACTCTGAGTTGCTGAAAATAATATTCGTACCCTCAAAATAGAAACCTTTCTTATCGATCATAACATTATAAGTCTACTTCCGGCACTCAGAGAACACTTTTGGAACAAACAGGAAATTAAGTAAGCTATGCATGACTGATAGTCACTTGCCATGCGCAAGCTGTCAAATAAAGTGGTGATAGTTGAAAGAGTGCGATCGCTATGAACCCAGGATTGAACCCCAGACTTTCACAGTTTGGTTTGAGTGGCATTTGCTTGGGCAACAGAGTGTGTGAAGACAGAATGCAAATAATGCAACCTAAAATTGGTTTTATTGGGTTTATTTTATTTCCCCTCTGTCTCCCTCCACAGATTCTGCAGATGGGCTGTGCTGCACGCTCACCACCCCTTGTCTGTCGGGAAAAGCTGAGGCGCCAGAAACAAATCCTGGGCAGTCACCTGTCGTCATGCGACACAACTTTGACTGGAAGAGAGTAGACAGGTAGAGAAGAGACGTCAAAATCACATGGATCTAGTTTATTTATGCGAGGATGAAAAGGTTGCTGATCAAAAATGTCTTAAATGGGAACAAGTTGCGGTGCATAAGATAAATAAAGAAAGGGGTACAAAACAAAATAGAGAACTAAAATTACGCAACACATTTTCAACATACCACAATCTTGTGACAAAAAGATGCTAGCAATATGAAAGACTTACAGACGCAAATTAAACAACATTGTACAAAATTGACCTCAGACTAGTAAAAAAAACAACAAAAAAACACCTGCATTATGTAGCGAGAACAAAATGCAAATACACTTCAGAAATGAGAGAAAGTGCAAAAAATGCAATCTTCTAAAAATATAAATTTATGCAAAAGGGTTAGTGATTCGAACATAACGGAAACTGTGGTTATATATATCTAGTTCAAGAAAAAGGAAGCATTAGATTTTCAAACAATATATGTAAAAATAAATTTACTGTAGACTTTTTTTTTTCATAACATATTGTTTTAAATGAATTTTGTTGGGGTGGGTTTGTCAACGGGTTTAACAGGAAACAACTGGTCAGCACAGACAGCCAGAGCGACAACATGGTGAGCTACGGCGTGAGGAACAGCATCGCTGCTTATTTGTCCTTTTCTGGCCAAGAAGACCCTCAGCAGCGAGGCGATCGCAGGAAGAAGAAATCCAGATCTGTGTATGTGATTCCAGAAAGCAATAACGCAAACACTGAGTATGAGGACGACTTCTAGAGACGGCAGCAGCTTGGTTCAAATGAATGAAAAAATAATAATAATGTTTGAGCAGAGGCCTGCAGAGACTCTCAGATATCTACTACAGCTCCCAAACGTCGGCCGAGGAATCCTCTGGCTCGGCTCCGGCCAGATTACCTCAAATCATGAAAGTGAGTTGAAGTAACAGCACTTTGAAATCTTTTAACAGTAAGTTACACATGTACTCATACTTCAAAGACGAATGAAATATGTTTTTTACGTGAGCCGTATGAACGTGTGAATGAATCAGATGAGCGGGTGCCGCACATTGGCTTCAACAATAACCCATCCATCATCCATTTTCTTTACACCCTTGTCCCTCGGTTGGGGTTGGGAGGGTTGCTGGTGCCTATCTCCAGCTAACGTTCCGGGCGAGAGGCAGGGTCACCCTGGACAGGTCACCAGTCTGTCGCAGGGGAACACAGAGACAAACAACCATGCATACACACACTCACACCTGGGGGCAATTTGGAGAGGCCAATTAACCTGATAGGGAGAACATGCAAACTCCATGCAGATAGAATGGGGCCAGGAATTGAACCCAGAACCTTCTTGCTGCAGGGCAACAGCTCTACCAACTGCGCCAACTGTGCAGACCTTCAATAATAACGACAAGCATTATTCAAATACAAAGTAGTCCACGGAAATTGTTGGGAGGAAGTATCTGGAATGGTAGTACTGGCTCAAACTATTTCCCTTTGTCAGTTGGAGATGAATGCTGGTATGTATACGAATACATGTTTGCTACTTTTGTTCATCTTTACCTCATGACGTTGACGAGATTAATGTTTTAGCTCACGAAAGCTCATCTAATTATGTCGCAACGTTCTGCGTGTTCCGTGTGTTTCTATGGTTTATGAAGGATTGTCTTTAATATAAAAATGCTCAGACATATGTTTGCACTGGTGAAAATTCGCTCATCCTGCCATACCAAATGCTTGAGAGGAAGGTTGTTTGGCCTACTTTTTGATTGTCTAGTATACATGAAGCTTAACCATGATTTGTCAGGTGTTGAATGTGGAAAAAGGAAAACAGAAAAATTAGTGCCATTGTGGAAAAAAGGTCCATTAGTGGGTTTAGGCCACAATCCATACGATTTAGTTAGTGCCGTGCTTCTGTTTTGGGACAAATGTCTCCCCAAATGTCATGTTTTTTGTTTTTTGTTTTTTGCTTGTTGTAACTGTTATGACATTGCTTGAGCCACCAGACTGAAAAATTATATTTATGAATACACCAGCTTTTTCTTTTCTTCTGGTATGAGGAGACTGAGCTTTTGACTAAAACAATTAAGGTGATGCTGGAGTTCCTTTTTAATGTGCATTTTTAAAGTCAACCCAAGGTTAAAATTGTGTCTTGAAGTCACGAGAAAGTGTGAAACTGCTGTTCTGCTTTAACTACAAAAATAAGCCACGTTGCCTTAGCACACATTTTTCCACTAATTTCTGAAAAAGTTAGTCTTATAATATTGGTATATGTATGTACAGCTTAGTTATCTTCTATCTTTTCGACTTGAACAACTACCTTTGTATAGTCATTTATATATTTACTCTCAGAGCGGTTAACATGAAGGTGTGCCGTGCTTCTGTTAAATATATATATATATATATATATATATATATATTTTAGCTTTTTTAACTATCTCTTTGAAATATATTTATGTGTGTTTTAACTGTGCTTGAAATGGCACAAGTTGCCAAATGTGGTAATTACATTGCTTAGCTTGTGGGGTCAAAAAACCCCCCAAAAAAAACAAAACAAAAAAACACCATGTGTTACGTGTGTGTCTGCTATAATACTGTGAAGATTAAAAAGTGCCTTGAAACTACTGTGCGGTTTTTACTTTTCAAAAACTTTCCACTGAAATATTGCCTTTTCAACCCTGTTTGATCAGAAGATGACCAGACGGACTCTGCATGTCAGTGAACAGTCATCCGCTATTACAGTGGAAATAGTTGTAATGGAAAATGAACACATTTATCAACATGATTAAACTGGGTGCTAAAACAAGTTCCTCTTATGCATATTGCACTTACAGGCCATTAAATATTAATAACCACAGGTACAAAGAGGTTTCTATGTATGAGGCAAATTTTGATGTTGAAAATGTATTCTCACCACTATAAATGTTTTTATTTTTCTGCCTAAGGTCATCTACGAGTATTTATGGCTCCTTGGTGTCAGTGATAGTTTAAAGGCGTTATGATCAGGCCTTGCAACTGAATGGTGAAGTAGAGCTAAGTCACATGTTAGTTGCAGAGGAAAAGGTGACGTTAATTACATGGTAGGCATGTTGAAACGCCGGCGATCTTGGGGCCGTGTTTCAAAATCATCTGTTACAAAATGAACAACAACAACAACAAAAAACAAAAAAAAAACAAACTGAATTTTGCAACATGAAATTAACTCTAAATGATGTTTCCTGTCTTTTGGTCTTTGCAAACCAGTGTGGTATTCTACTGCTTTGTCTCACTGTGTTTCAAAAGCAGCAAATGCAGGAACGGAGAGTTAAATGGGTAAACTGGCCCAACATTTGTGGCTAAAGTTGCTAAACCACTGGCTTCCTTGCAGTTTCATGTCCAGTGATTTTTAAGGTAGGTGTTCCTGCTGTCAAGTCTTGACCGAGGCCCAGATATTTTTTTAAAAGTCGCAACTTCGAATACAATTTCAAATTACGAATTTCACTTTTGCTCATGTAATTAGTTTTTGTTTTACTTGGGAAGAGCACTACAGCAATTTACAGTAAATGCCAAAATGTTTTTTCTGAGGACGCTGGCACCAACAAAACCATAATATTTTTCTCACTGCGAGAAATCCTCGGCTCTAAAATGTTGCACATGTGGTCGTTGAAAGTGAAGACAAAATACTGGTATTCTGACATTCATTTGGCTCAGACACCAAGAAAGATAGTTTAATCGGTTTAAAAAAAAAAGTCCTGTAAGTATTTTACAATTAAAACCCCACAGAAACAATGCAGTTTCTTACACAAGAAATCTATAAGCTCACAAGCGAGGACAGAAGGTACTTTGTTGCTCTTCCTCCTGACTGCTAGGCCTACACTCATATTTGGATTTTTCCTTTTTCTTGAAGCCAAGATTCCATTTGCCTGATAGTCTTGTGGGAAAAAAAGAACTTTTTTTTTTTTTTAAACAAGAATGTCTTTTCTCGTGGAAGATGAGAGACCTAATCTATTCACCTATTTATTTTCATGAATTTCCTCGATTTCTGTTGCTGGATATTTGGGTAAAGTAAGAGTGCTCATTCACTGCTACGCATCTAAGAAAGATCTTTTTAACAAGAAAGTTGTCTACTCTTTAAAATAACTGCCAGTCATGCTCTTCTCTACGTCATCATAAATACTTAGGGAAGTGTTTCCATTTTAGGGAGGCATGAGTTCAGAATAATGTGTTCTCGGTTTGGGCCTCGGTGAAAGTCTTGCTTATGTTGTGCTTTAAAAAGAAAAAAATTAATCTGTTAAGGTTTGATTATTACAAGAAATATAGGTTTTCTCGCCCTACAATAGAGTATGTTTAATGTGTTTGGACTTCACAGAGTAAAGTCAGTGTAAAGCTGTGGTCATTTAGCTTTACATTGCTCTGACAAGTTACAATGGTTTACTGAGTTTGAATGCATTAATCATTTTTTATTTCTATACAGAAATATCTGTAAATTCATGTTACTGTTCAATCTTCTTGTTGCCAATCTTTGTGTTTCCAGCTAGTTTCCTGTTGCTCTCGTCACATGTTTGTGCTCTTTGCTCTAATGAAAATGGGAAAGAGGATTCTTTTGGTAAAAGTTTGGAAAACATACCCCATAATAATTAAAATTCCTTTGGCTCCTCTTAACTTTGAGCCTCGAGCCTCCTGATCAAAGGTCCATTCCCGGGTCTTGTCACCGGCAGAAAAGACAGGAGCATGCAAGCTTGCATTTTACCCATAATGGGGCAATTTAAAAAAAAAGCTGCTGCTCACCCACACATATTTTTCCTCAAAGTTGGCAGCCCTGCCAATCTTATTAATGTTTTCATTAACTTTACAAGCCGACAAGCGTGTGATCAGTCAAGTCGAGCTCAGCACTTTCTCTCCTGTAAAACAAAAGGATGTGAGGGTTGTGTAAGCTTGTTACAAGCGCTCGTTAAATGTCTGCAGGCTACTGATTGGAGTGAAGTCGAAGCGTGTGTTTGCTTCCGTGTGCTGGAACGGAACAGCCACTGATGCAGACCCAAACATCTGGTGGCCCCAGTGCAACACGTAGAGACGGCTGTCCAGTCAGCATTACTTGCCGCTCACGTCCGAGTGTTTCACTGCAGGCAAGACATTCCTGCAAAGAAACCGGGGTGAAAGTGACGTTCAGGCATTGCTTTGTCTATCATTTCATTTTCACAGTTCAGTGTTAGCATTATTCTACTTCCCTTAGTTCCCACTTTTCAAAATTTTTCGGCAAAGAGGTCTTGTCACATTTATATCCTGGAAAAAGCAGGAAGTCACTCACTATTAGCAGAAAGTTGCTAAAATCTTGGACTGCTAAGATAAAGTGTAATGTGCCAGTTTCATTTATTTTATGGGAATTGTCCCAAATAATGCGTTACGAGGGATTTCGTAAAAGAGATATTCATTTCTTAACTTTTTTCCAGACAAAATAAATGTGCTTAAATATGTTAAATACAAAGTTTTATTTATTTATTTTTTTAAATATTAGTGTGATATTATGCTTCTTCATCATCAAAGGTGAATTTATTTGAAGGATTTTCACTCATCCTCGCGAAATGTTCCAAAATACGTGCTGTGCGGGGGGGGAAGTAATTTCTGCCCGCAGCAATCAGAATGAGAGCAAAGCAATGAGGATCACAGCTCCTCACAGTTCTTTCTGACCACAGCTATGTCACTTTCACATTAGTGTAGATTTGAGAAAATCATGTCTTTAGCATTTACTGTAAAACTGCTGCAGACAGGACAGATACACCAGTGTCTCTTTGCCAACAAATCTGTGCACAACATGAAACCAAAAGCTTTCATGGGAGCAAAAGGGGAATTATTGAATTTCAAAGGGAACTAAATAAACAAGATATCCTCACAATGCTTGTCCTGTTGTGCAGAAAAGGCTCAGGGGTTCAAGCTGATTTTTTTAGATGAACAAAGAGGATTACATTTAAGAAAAAAAATATTCTTTTACAGGGAATTTAAGCCCCAAATAAAATATTAGAAGTGTACTCTCCTCTAAAATCAACAAATGAGGCCTGTGAACATTTACTCTTTCAGGGGGAAGGAATTAAGGAACAGAAAGTTGGGCTTCTTCAAGGAAATTAAGAGGTGGAAAGAGATTAATCTCTCTGAAACGTGTTTCTATTATTTGAGTTCCTGAAGTCTTAGCACATTATCCCGACGTCCAGCTGTCCAAACCTCTGACTTCACCAAGAACTTACTGGTGAGCTGTGGAGCCCGCACATAAATATTTTTGTGGCCTGATCAAGAATACCTTCCTTTCAATTTGAGAGCAGAGATGTGTGGTCAGTTTGCAACGCAAAAGGGGAATTTCTGTTTTAAGCATGGTACAAAAAGGCGTTAGCGTATTCATTTCCTGTCAGTATACTGTTAGATTGTGATGTAAATCTACTTCAAGTTCAGTTTGGTATGCATGAACATTTTTTTTTTTTTTTGCAGGGGGCAAAGGGTGGACGGAAACACGGGAACTTCGAAGTGAAAAAATGCTTCGGATAAATTAGCTCTCGTTAAATGACGACGCCATGAATAACTCCCAACGCTGTGAACCATAATGTTGGTCGTAGAGAGAGAGAGAGAAAAAAAAACATTAGAACATGGCCTTCACTGTTGAACTACAGGATACTGAGCCAATACAACCAAGGCTGTGCACGGAGCCGAGAAGAAAAAATAACAAACAAAAAGCAAACATTCATGAGAAATAAAAGCTGCAAAGCATCCACGGGGAACATGGCGAGCTGATGTAATCGGCTGGAAATTTATGTTCGCTGCTAGGTCTTTCCACAGTTATAAAAAGAAATACAGACATCTGGAATGCACTTTCAAAATGTTTTGTTTTGCTTTGCTTGTATATAAGCTTTATTCACACACCCAGCATAAAACGATACATGTATTTCTCGCAGTTAAAGAAATAACTTCAACTTCCCAACATTTTTTTTTTTTTATCGTTTGATGAAACTCAAAGCAGCACACAGGATGAAACTGATCAGCAACTCAGAGCGTATCTGTGTCTTAAACTGCAAGTAGGTGGTTGAAACGTCCCTGCTGAGACCACTTCCTCTCAGTTTTCACACGTCAGATAGTATAGAAATTGCATCAATGGCGGGTGAAAAAAAAAAAAGAAGCAATCTTTCTTACAGCTGACATTTCCAAGAAGTTTAACATAGTTAACAATTGGTCCAAGAGGGAGACATATAAAGCTGCGAGAGACGTTTTCACACTGTGGTTCAAAGAAGCCATATATTTTGTTTATTAAAATAAGTCTTGAGCAGCATTTCTACAGGCTTTCTCTAGGTCCTTAAATGGTTAGAAGTTTTTGCAGGGGCTTAAAAAGGCCTCCGACAGCAAATATGCACTTGCAAAAGCAAAGGTTTTTCACCGCCTGTCCTTTCCTGCCTTTTTGGAGAAAGGTTAGGAAAAAAAAAAAAAAAAAAAAAAAAAAAAAAGCCCCCACTTTTGGGATTCAACCTGCAATCCATTAAAGGAGACCTTATCAGAGTGATAAAACTGCTGTAAGCATGCCATTTA